TCAATGGGTAGAGGCCAGACGAAGCTCAGTCTCACAAAGCCAGCTGCTTGGGCACCTCCTGGCTTCCTCCTATCCACATCCGCCCCTGGAGAGGCCATTCCAGCAAATAAACACGGTGAGGGGCAGTTTACCGGTCAAAAAGTACCCGTTAGATGGACGTAGGAGCGGGTTACCTGGGGCTTCCTCTCGACGATGGGAGAAGTCTTCGCACTTCATTGGACAGCTACCGCCCGCCCAAGCTGGGCAACCCCCAGCCAATAAAGTGCTGTCCCGTCCACGTTCAGCTTATCTCATTGCGTGCATGAGGCTGAGGGCTGATCCCGAAAAGCGGACCGGTAATCAACGCACCAGCGAACAACACACTGAACTTAAACCCGAAGGCCCAGCGTGATAGGTCTGTATAAGCTCTCACACGGATGCATCGTCCACGCTCCCGCGTTGGATTTACGCCCGACTGCCTTGTGGATCAGATTTTTGATTGAAAGGCTCCGGTTAGGGTTCCCAAAGAAAAACCTCTTCGTCGGTGTGGGCTACCGCGAAGTATGTCGTGCCCTAAAGTCACCCATTTGGACAACTGAGCTGAACTGATGTTGTTAGTCAGTCAGTCGGTCAATCACTCAGTTAAGTTAACCTTTATGCACCCAGTAGGGTAGATTCTTAACAATGAATTAGATTTGCTTAGAAATCCATGCATAAGAGATTTTTTTCGAGCTGGAACATCCGCATCCCGAGCTACAATCATTCCACATTATTTACATAGTAAACAATGATTTGATAAGAAGAGGATTATTGGTTCGATTCGCCATGGTTAAAGGGAATTCACGCTAAAGTCACTCATTTCTTTTCTCATTTCTTCTTTTTCTCCGTATCTCATAGCGTCAAGTTTCAATTTGGAAAGTGGATAGCCTGGAAAAACCGGTGAGTTACTGGGGTTCGTTTGTCTACGTCGGTATGGTCGTAAACGTTGGTTTGGGAGGGAGTTACTGCGTGACATAAAGCTGAGATCATTGGTGCAGATTAACTTCGCTTTGTTCCTTACACGTTACGAACCCATATATATATATATAATTATATATATATATATATGCATATATGTAACCTTTATAAAACGAAATAGTTTCGTGATTGGCTTTTGGATGAGATACCGCCAGGTTACCTAGGTCAAAGCAGGCGCATTTTTTGGGGAATTTACAGTCGGAACCTTCGTTTAACCAAATTCTCATCCGCAAGATAGTGGGGCCGGGGGATGAAAGCAACATTCTATTAGGGGCCATGTCCAGTTGATTGGATCGTACAAGGTCAAAAGTCCAAGGTGCTCAGTAGACCTCGATAACTAATGGAGTGCGTGCTCACTGTCGCGGTCAGGAAAGTGTGTGTGGGAGGAGTGGGGGGGGGACTCATACGCCTCTTCTTGGTTGGTTTAGAGTCAGGATGTTTTAGCCAACTCCCCAAGTTAAACTGCCAGTAGTTCGCCGATCCGATTATAGTCCCGGATATTGGTCTATCGTCCTCTCATTTTGGTGGGAAAACACCTCTGCCAGGGGAAGACAGTGAGTAGGACTTCCTCAGCAGAAGCTATTTGAATCGCTTGGTCATATGAAAACATTTGGCGAGGTGAAGGGGAAGAGTGACTAGCCACAATCCCTGCCAATCACTCCAAGTCATACTGAAGCTTTCGGAGACCAACCCCCATATTGATACAGAATTTGGTTGCTGAATTTTCTCCACCTTTAGGAATGTTTAAATGTTGCAAATGCGTCTAGTTTTGATCTGGGACAGAAGCTTTTGAAGAAGTTGTTCTATATTAACTGTTGTGTTACCGATGTAGGCGAATCTGAGGATTACATATGGCGTTGAATATCATTTCTGTACTCTCGGATTTCATTATTTACCCTTTGCCACAAACACGTGGCCAAATTGGTTACTAGGATCGTCACCAAACGTTGAATTACTCTATTCTCATCGAAAACTATTTGTTTTCTATCCCTAACGTAGGTTTACAGTTTCACAGAGTCGTCAGACGTATGCCAGATCAAATGGAGCCCGGTGAGGTAAATTGTTGTGGTATTTGAAACGTTCGCGATTTGTTTCTAAGAGTTTACATTGACCATACAGAAACTCAGACGATATAGCTTTTCGATTTCCAGTGACCGTGACAGATTTATTGAATTTTTCGTGATATTTGTTTTTGAACTCCAAATCAGACCATTGAAAATAAGCATTCGATCGATTTTACGAAATACCAGTACACTAAACCACTTCGTAATACGTGTAATATTTTATTTATTTGTTTGTTTGTTTTCGTCTCCGTTGTTTGAGTAAGTCATCAGGCACCAGTATTAGGCTGTAAATGAATATGATCCCTTTCGTGTCAGATAAACCGACATTTTATTGATTTCAACGGGAATTGGTCTCAGTTGTATCACAGCTTCCTCCCCCCTCCGAAAATTACCTTGAATGTTATGCATTGATCTGCCACTCAAAGTAACCGATATCCACATCTTTCCTACTACCTTACCATTGATTGAAGTCCTCTGGCCAGGAATGAATTGCGTAAGGCTCTGATTCCATATTCCATGCAATGAAATAATCAATATGCGTCGATAAGTCCGGCTCCTGTAATAGCAAATCACTATGCTAATCCGTCACAAGCAAATGTACACTACCGCGTCACTTGGATAATCACGGTCAGTCAGTAGCACTGGTACTAAAACAGAATTCAATCGGACTGAAACAGGGACCATATCGAATGTGCAGTCCAAGTGCAAAGTCAAGCAAGTAGCCAGTTGAACATAGTTCAGCATGAAAAAAGATAGCCCAGTTTATCGCGGTGGGTTGAGAGAAGGCTAGCAGTACCTGTCCATCAAACTCTAATGCGTACACAAACTATGAATAATCCCATACGGCATCGGTCGTCGTGCAGGATAATCAGGACCGCGCTTCCCATTGCAGTCCCATTGCTTATTTCTTTATCTTCTATATTCACCCCTCTTTCTTCACGCCTTCTTCGAATGTGAAAAGATCAGTACTATCGGTGTGGCCTCATAGCTCAACTGGCAGAGCGTGCTTTGTACAAAAGCGTAGGCGGCTTCCATGCGTACGTTCGAATCCCACCGAGGCTACTGAACGTTTCGCAATCTCGACATAAAAACTTCAAATCTGCCAAACAACAATTTTAAAAATTCAGTTTTGTCAGCTTCGCTTGCTAGAGCACGTATTTCGCATGCCCAGCTGTCGTCTACCATAGTGTACGCAATTGCTGCTCCAGGTTGGAGGTAAGCAGTTGGAGGCCAGCTGGTATGGAGACAAGGCTTGAAGAAATGCACATAGCAATTAGTTAGATTAAGTGTCTCCTGTCTCGCAGGTTGGGATCCAAAATGTTTTGCCACCGATTGTGTGGAAACACTGAAGAACATGGCAGCAAACCGATATCAATGGCATTCCCATAGCAATGAAATGGAATGTGAAAATGAAATGTCTTTTTACTTCCTTTTTCTATTTATTGAATATACTGCGGCCGTACAAAGGCTGCGTGGGGGAAATACAGATAGGGAAGACGGGCGGCGATGGAGCGATTTGAACCCGGGACACCCAGGTCACTGGTTGGTGACCTAACCACATGACCATCACTGCTCCAAGCGGTATGTATGCACTGTTAGATTGTGTAGACTGTTGATCAGAGAGGTTCTTTTTCACCTCAATCCAAATATGCCCAATCCCTATTTATCTTACACGTTCTCACTTACATTTTTTGCTTTATGGGTACTTCGTCGATCATAGAAGTTCATTTCATTGTATTCCCCCGTAAGATNGATGCTGTTTGGAACGCTTGATAGGTCATAAGACCCATTAGTGAGTTGATTAGTTATGAGCCACCGGCATTGTACTGTGTGTAATACACCTATCGGCGACCGTACTGACACATTCGTATACCCACGAACACTTAATTGCCGTTAATCGTCAGTACTTATCTCTGTAGCTATACATTTGTGGAATAGTCCGTGTGATAGATAATCCGATCATGAAATATGCATGTTTTTCATCCATTCTCATTGATCACTCACTCTAGGCAAGCCTGGCTC